GGAGGTGTGTGTGTGGTAGGTAGGTAGGTGGGTTTACTCTTGGGGACGTGCAGTTCCTCCTGGAGGAAGGAATTAATTTAATTGGCTCTGCGTTTGCAGGCCTTATCCTTTGATATATGGATTGGGTCTGTGTACCTTATTTTTTTTTGGGGGGGGGGTGTTGCTAATTTTAGTTGATGAACTGATTCTCGGACCCTTGTGGATCCTGTCAAGTGGCTGAAGGGAGGAGGGAAGCAGTCTAAAGAATAGAATATATTTGGGTAGAAAAACTCCTCGCAGTCTTTGTTCTCACGCCAGTCGGTTTGGGGGGAACCCCTTTCCCAGACTGTCCACTGGCGGCTGGGGATGATGGGAGTTCAGGGACGAACGCTTTCTCTTGCCTTGGTGCCAGCAGGTCCCCGCTCAGCAAGGTGGGTCCCTGCGTCCAGGATGCCAGCCGGCCGCTCTCCTGCACTGTCGGAAAGTCCCAGTTCTGGAGCTCCTACCGAGTGAACGTGACGGAGGTCAACCCCCTGGGCTCCAGCTTTACCCTGCTGGACATCATCGCCCACAGCATCAGTAAGCCCCCCTCCCTCTCCCCCGTCCTCATTTAGCGCCACCAGGGCATTAAGTGAAGCCGTTGCTAAGCGAGACTGCCAATGTGCTTACTATCCTCCATCAGCTTTAGTCCTCAACTTACGACCACAATTGAGCCCCACCAGGTTTGAGACAGTTGTTAAGTGAGTTTTGCCCCCATTTACGTCGTTTCCTGCGCCGGTTCTTAAGTGAATCCCTGCAGCTGTCAAATGACTCGCATGGTTGTTAAGTGAATCCCACTCCCCCTTCGACTTTGCTCGTCCGGCGGTTGCAAAAAGGGGATGACGTGACCCCGGGAATGCTGCGACCGTCATAAGTATAAGTCAAGTTGCTGAATTTTGGTCATGCGACCATGAGGATGCTGTAGTGGTTGTAAATGTGAAAAAGGGTCATAAGTCCCTTTTGTCCATGTTGTTGTAACTTTGAGCAGTCACTAAATGGACTGTTGTAAGTTGAGGATTTCCTGCATGTAGATAATGGGAGGAAAACATTCTAAAAATGCAAATGAGCAGCTATAAATAAAGCTAAAAGGGAGGGAGGGAGGGAGGGAGGAGGCTGATTGGGGGGGG